TCTCTGTGTGTCTGTGTGTCTGTCTGTGTGTGTGTGTGTCTGTGTGTCTGCGTTGCGTGGGTGGGTGGGTGGGCCCAAAACATTGGGACCTCCGGCGGGTTTTGCGACTCTTGGAGAGCGAGAGAGCCGAGAGGTCCCCATGTTTGGGGGGGTCTCGGAGCTCAAAGCCGATGCAGTCAATGCAGATCACTGCAGGAAAAGGGTAGGTACATTGGGGGAACCATCCATATATATATATATAGATAAACACAGATGTTCATGGTAATAAAAGCGAAAAACAAACATAGGTGTGTACGTGCATAGGTTCAGCTATGTGTGTTGACATAGATCCATCCATCCCTCCGTCCATCCATCCATCCATGCATGGCCGCGCATAGAAACGTACACAGATTGCACCGGCAAGGGCTACACAGTTCTTGACATAGCAAAAACATTGACTAGCAGACCTGCATGCAGACACTAGATGGCAGGTATGAAGATTTATGCCAACTGTGGCAGCTATGTCATGGCCTCGCGGAAGATTTCTAGCCCAGACTTCGGAATGAAGTCCTGCACAAGCACAGCAGCCACAACTCTTAGCCATCTTTCCCAAGCAAGCATAAGACAACGCGATGCTTGAGAACATTCTGCTAAGCCTCAGAGGGAGGTCTGTCCTTGAGGTCCCGCAGTTTTACATCGAGTATCGGCTTGAACGGAACTCTCACACAGAGCCAATGAGCAAATCTTCGGTTTTGTAGATGAACACCGGTGAATGTCATGTTCATCCAACGTGTCTCCATGCCACATCATGGCATCTGCAAGCTCAGAGTAACTATGACTTCTGGGTTGTCTCGCTCAGTCGAACGATGCTCTTCTATAATCCTCGCTGCCGATGGATGAGCATGCCAACACAAGTGTCAGAGGAACTCCCGACTCTCTGTCGCAACCAGCTGCCATCCAACACGGGGAAATGCCTAGCCAGCAGCACCAATCGCGGTCGTTTCAGATCAACCAAGACAGCCGCGCACGCTGATTCAGAGCTTCACTACGCGAAAGCACAACGTCACAACTTTCGCATGCTTGCTCAAGCCACTCCCATC